TGCTTTTGACCTTGACTGGGAAGGTGAATCGTCATTGCTTTCCTTAACATATTCAACAATAACTTGCCTTTTAATGTAGAACTTTGCATCCGCAAAGTAGGACTCAGCCTCTGTGAAAGGGCTTTCATCGGCGATAACCTTTTCAACTACGCCGTTCTTTTCAAACATAAGGCATTGATGCCAAGACGAGGGTACCACCCCATTTTCATGTATCCACGGCCTTCCAAGTAACAAGTTATAAGATGTCCTTGCATCTATGACATGGCAGAGGACACCTGAACTTAGGCTTCCAATTCTTAAGTCAAGTCTGATGATGCCGATTGCTCTTTGCCCTCCCTGGTTGAAGCCTTGTATCATTAGACGACTTTGGGCAAGCTCATCTGTAGATATACCAAGGTCCTTCACAGCTCGGAGGGATAGGATGTTGACAGCTGAGCCTTGATCAACCATAATTCTTTTGAGTTTTTGCCCACGGGTGTAGCCTTCAACAAATAATGGGCGATTGTGTGGCGTGCCTCCAAGTAACAAATCTTCATCCTTGAAGGTAATTTCTGTGGAATAGGAAGTAGCCTTATGCATTAGCACTTCCTCGTCCTCGATATGTTTAGGAGATGAACATTCACCTCCATCTTCTGGCTTGTCATTTGTATTTAAGCAGGAGCTAGAAGTGCCTGCCCCTTGAAGATCAAATCCTTTTGGCATATATTGAGCCAAAGGAACTGGTGCATGTGGCTATTTGACATGGCCCTTCGGTTTTGATTTGCGGGCATGAGTATTTTTTGAGGTTTTCTCAAGCCAACTTTTCACTATGTGCTTTTGATGCTTCACAGGCTCAACTTTCTTCTTTCTATGAGTGACAATCACCCATTTTCCTTCGGATGTGTTATCGTTCCGCCGTGGTTCTGAACTTTGACCGACAGCGTGCTTAACAATGAAGGGGAGTGGACGCTTCTGTTGTTTCCCATCTTCCTTTTCAGTGCACAGCCGAGCGAACCGTCCGGGTGTGATCGAGATTTGATTCGAGCTTGCGTTAGCATCAGCGAGCTCAATTTTTCCATCCCTGGCCAGTGCCATAACTTTGTCTTTGAAGATAAAACACTTCTCAATCGGATGACCAAGAAGACGGTGGTACTTGCAGTAATATGGGTCATCCACCCTTGTAGCTTCATCGGGACGTTTCATTTCAGGCAACTCAATGAGCCTAAGTTTGAGTAGTTCATCAAACATGGGAGATACATCGGAATCCATGAAAGGATAAGTCTTCTCCTGCCTTTCTTCAATTGTCGGCCTTCTACCACCCCTTGACGGGCCAGAAAATGATCTTGACCTAGGCCTTTCAGTTGCCTTAGTGAAGACTGTCATGGGAGTAGCCTTCACATTCATCACTTCTTTCTTTTCCTGCTTTGGAAAAGGTTTGTTCCACTTTTTAACTTCTTGTTTTCCAGGTGCATTGGAGGAGCTAGGCAATTTCAATATGTTGAGCCCTCCGCTGGCTTCGATACTCAATTCCATGTCGTGAGCACGACTGGATAACTCCTCAAAGGACTTTGGCTTAATCCCTTGTAGGATATAGGAGAGTTCAAAGTGCATTCCTTGGATGCACATCTCAATTGCAGAACTTTGGGATATTCTTTCTTTGCAATTCAGGCATAGTTCCCTCCACCTTTCGATGTAGGTACCGGCGCGTTCACCCTTCCATTGGCGAGTAGTGGTGAGTTCCAAGAAGCTGACCGTTCTCCTTGTGCTATAGAAACGAGATAAGAACTCACGTTCCATATCATGCCATCTATCAATGCAGCCGGGCGCAAGGTCAGTGTACCAATCAAACGCAGTTCCCTTTAATGAACGGACAAACTGCTTTACCAACAGATCGCCATAAGTCCCTGCATCATTGCATGTTTCCAAAAGTGGGCAATGTGCTGTCGGGGATTTCCCTTGCCATCGAATTGCTGGAACTTAGGAGGTTGATAGCCGTAGGGCATTTTCAACTCCTCAATTCTTTGTGTGTAGGGCTTAGCATAGGAATATGAAGGTTGGCCTTCATCCAACTTGCCTTTGATGGCCCCCATTATATAGTCCTTCAATTGATCCACCGGTATCATGCCTTCGGTAACTGGAATAGTTTTCTCAGTTGCAGGTAAGTGGGAAGCAGCTTCTCCTACCACATGGCTAACATGAGGTGGTGGTGATTGCTGACCAATCTCTTCTTGCCCTTCAGGTTGCTTTCCTGGAGCACGACTTCCTTGCTCCTCCATGATGCTTCCTACCCTATTATCGAGGGTGTTAAGCCGTTTCTCTTGATTTTGGAGAGCGACAGCCATTCCTTCCAGAGACTTAGCAATTCTAGCTAATTGCTCCTCCACAGACTCTGTGTTTGTCTCCATGGCCGGCATGACGTTGTAGACATGCGACCACTCAGGTGCAGCCTTCCATAATGGATGAGGCGGAGTTACGGGGGAAGTGCTCCCGCTACTAGCGTTCCCTTGCATAGAAGTTGGACTACCACCATCGGTAGCTCCCTTGGGAGAGGGTGGACTTCCAGCAAAAGCAATTGCCTTTGAGGCAGCAGGGGCCTTGTCGAGCCTTCAAACCACACGTCGTGCCATGGACTGAGGTTCAGGCACTTGGACCCCAAATCCTTTGCGCGGTTCCTTGTCAGCGGACCATGCGTTTTTGGGGTAGTGTCAGAGCTAGCTACAGGCGTAGACTTGGACTTGGTAGCTTGGGCATAGGTCCTCCTGAACATGGGATTGTTCGATGCCATTTGATGCGCAGGTAGAGGTATGGTAGTAGTAGAGAGATGAGAGGCAGAGCTGTCCCACCGGGCGTGCCAAAATATGTAAACGCGAAAAACTTGAATTGTATATATTCAAAATTCAAAGTATCGGTTACAAGTAGTATGTATCAATCAAGAAGGGGTACAATCTCTGTATATGAGAAGTCCTCTGATTCTCTACTAGAAGTATGCCTATTAGATGTGTGCCAAATTTGGAATATGCCAAATTGGAAGTGTGCCGAGTCCAGAGTATGCTGAACTTGAAGTATGCCGAGTTCGGGAGTATGGCCGAACTGAAGTATGCCGAGTTCCTTGTTGGAAGTGTGCTGAGTTCAGAGTATGCTGAACTGGAAATATGTCAAGTTCGGGAGTATGGCCGAACTGGAAGTATGCCGAGTTCGGGAGTATGCCGAACTGGAGTAGTTCCTTGCTGAAGGGCCTCCGGAGTTGGTAGCTTGTTCCTCAATGAAGGGCTAATATGCAGCTTGATCTTCAAAGAAGGGCTTCCGGTGTTCAAGTGGCGTGTTCCTCAGCGCGGTATACGCAATACAACTGCGAGCGTGTTCCAGACGATATCCTGGCGAGACTTCGGCAGAGCTTCAGTATGCAGATTTCCAGAGCTCCAATTCTTGAAAATGAAACCACTATTTATAGTGGTGAGGGTGAGGGAAAATCTCCAACCAACTCTTAATTCCTTATTTAATTTAATTTCTTTAATTAAATTAAGGAATGTATCGGGACACCATTGCGTCCAGGTTCATCATTTCATTAAATTTCCAAATAATATCAAATATTCAAATTCCTCAAAATTATATAATCCACATATAATTTTAGTGGACCAAGACCAAGTCAAGCCCGCTAATTAGGCAACCCAATTCATCCAAGCAGCCTGGTCCAACTCGATTAAATATTTCATCATCTCGGGCCGAACAATCCAACATCCAATTACATTTAATTAATTATTCAATGGGCCATCTAATTAACCCAATTAAATAAATATTAATCCAATTAACCTAATTAAAGTAATTAATTTAACAATCAATTATCCACCACGGTCCAACAATATTATTTAAATTTTTCAATGCTTACAAAGTCCATGAGGAGTTTCAATCTACCTCCGCTTTTCGCAAGAACAACAACCGTCTCTATGCAAGTGAGCTCATTGTGAGTAAAATTACAACTGCTTTTAACCCAATCGAAAAATTCCAATGCTTTGTACAGCCCTAACTGCACTTTCTCGGGGTCCTTGTAAGCAGTCGGACCGAGAACGAGTTTTCCATAGCGAGCCTTGTCGAATTCTTGTCTGAGATTTCTTTGTTTCAGAGGGTAGCGATGGCGGAAATCGTCCTGGCGGCCAATGGTCATGGGTGACTAGGGGAGGAATTGAGGATGGAGCGTAGGACCTAAGAAACCATTTCTACAATCCAAGCATGTCGAGGTGTTGAAGCCGAGAGGATGGCGTTTAACGGCCGGTTTTGAATAATTACAGCTAAGATTTAATCTGCGACGACGCTTTGGGAGAGAGAACGTAGAGTGGTCTTGATGAGAACATGAGTCTCATATAACTCACTTCATTGTTTTTAATGAGGACTGAGGAGGCCCTCCTCCTCCATATAAAGGCCATTGCATATTGCAGAATACTCAACCATCTATCTGTATTTAGATTCATTGAATTTAAACAAAAATGGCTATTGGCAACATTGGTGTCCGGCGAAGGAAGACATTGTCGTCTAAGAAAGCTTGTGGAAGAAAGAAAGCTGGAAGAAAGATGTCAAAGGCGAAGAAATTGGGTAGAAATAATCACTGCTATGTGAAATTCCAATTATACCCATAGTCTAAATAGAGTTAAGGGTGATTCACTCACAGAAGGACTAAATTGACTAACGTCAGACTAATTGAGGGGACCAAATTTGTCAAAATTGAAAAGTAAAGATAACATTGTAAATGGGGTACTAATTGAGGGACCAAAAATATGATTTTCCCTATATATAGGTGGAGATCAAGTGAGGATATAGCCTTAGGTGAAGATTGTGAATTTTTCTGATCCGCCGGATTAGATAATCAAACGGCTAATATTGCACAATAGGAGAAATTAAAAGCCCACTAAATATGGTAGTAACGGTACAAGTAATTATGGTTGGGGGTAAAAGGGTAAATGGGAAATTAAATGTGCATTGACGGAAAAGGAAGGAGCGAAAAACGCGTGCCTCTTCGTTTAGGGTTAAAACACTGATTGTGATGGTGAGGTTTCAGCATTGCACATCCAACTCAACCAAATCTCTTGCACAACCAAACAAAGCCGTGAAGAGTAGGGGGCTAGTACACCTAGGAGAAGTCAATGGACTGCATCCAGGGAAGCGACGACTAGAATCCGTAAGAATCTGAGACCAAATTAATTAATTTTTTTTTTTTGTTGTAAGGGAAACTGGAATTTAATGATTGTTTTTATTTGGGTTGTTGTTTGTTTTTCCCTTTTTTTTTTGAATAAAAAATGCCGCTTTTGGGCGTGGGTGGTGTCGACTGAATGTCACTCCGTGGGAGTAGCGATGGGTTGGGTACGACAGCGTAGAGACGGCGCAGATTACACTGGTTTTTGTTTTTTTTTTGTTTTTTTTTTTTTTGTTTTTTTTTTTTTTTGTAATGGTTTTGAATACGAGACGCCGGTCATGGGGATGGGATTATAGAACCTTAGCAAGTGAAACCGTACTGCCCAATACATCAACTTATTTGACTACAGCAAGAACCTTAACCGAAATAAGTAATTGGGTAAAAATGTATGACACAGTGAACGGATATTTTGTGCATTTAGTTGTTTTGATAGTGTGCATTTTGTTGTTGTGATATTGAGCATATTACCTTATTGTGTTGTGCATGTGGGATGCGCTAATTTGTGCTGGAATGAGTGTGGTTGTTGTGCAACAAATATATAAGCGAAATATAGAAGATTAGCAAGAGAAATCCGACTGCCAACCAAATTGAGCCAATGAATCCACAATATTTGACTTCCTTGTCATTATAGTAATGGCAATACCATTTAGATGATTCAAGAATGGTGGCCCTAGTGTTGAATAATTTGTAAGGGTCGTTTCCTTTAAAAAAAATATTAAATTAACAGTGTCAACTTTTTACCATGCAATTTGCTGACTTTCTTTCTGGAGAAAAAGATGGAATATTATCTGTAATTTTCTATGCAAACAGTATCACGAGAAACAAACATAAACCTGAGCCTAGAGTCGATTCTTGTTTTACTACAATTAATTATGCTAATTAAGGTGTTTCTAAACGGTAATGAAAACTTAAACACTTTTGAAGTAAGTTTTTTAATGTTCTTGTTTTAGATGTGTTGTATTTACTGAGTTTTTTTTTTTTTTTTGTGCATTCTGTTTTTTATGACTAAGCATTACTAGCTAAAATGTGCATTTCAGAAATTAACAGATTACATAATTGAGTTTTGTTTGGATGTGGTATGGGGTAATATGTGCAGTAAGAGGTGGTTTCTCTGTGCAACTGAAATAAGTTTTGTGTCTAACATGAAATAGTTAACCAATTTTTGAATACATTTAATATATATTTTGTGTGTGCACAAGTGGGATAGAGTATTTTGATTCTTAGTTTTTTTTTTCCTAGTGGTGAGCTCTTTGGTTCTTATTTTTGTACGCGTTTTGTATTGAGCAGTTGCAACAAGGAATCAAAAACCCAAGAAGCAACCACGAGAGGGTACGGTTAGGCAAAACACTGATGACGATTTTGTTGAACCACCGCGGCAAGAATCAAGACAGGATAACCAAGATGGAGATGGGACATAGTATGAATTTACAGTCGAAGAAGTGGACAGGGATATGAATTTATTTGGCGTATGGGGTTTGTTAAACATATTAAACATATTAAAACTGTGGAAATGTATTGCTTGGTATATAAATTTATTTTTTGTTATGCGGTCGGTTGTTTAACAATGATCTACATATTTTGATACTTACACTTCTTTATTATTTGACAGTAATACAAATCAGAATTGGCGCAGGACACTTTCAAAGGCTATTTTGAATGCCCTGTGTGACCGTACATGCTATTTCTGTGCATTTGTGAATTTAAAAGTATGTATTCCTGTGCGTTTTGAATGATAGTGATATTGTGCATTAAGGAATCTTATTTGTGTGCAATTCTGACTATTTATAGGATTAATAGTAGACTTATGAATGCAATACTGAAGCCAGTAATCTCATTTTCCGCCGTGTGCAGCTGGGATTAAGTGTTCTGTGCATTTTTGTAATTTGGTCAATTATTGAAATGTTAGAAATCTGTCGCCACATTATTGTATATATCACTATCACTGGGGTTATTTAATATTTATATAATCTTAATGCATTTTGAAGTAAGTTAATTATTTAAAAAAAAAAAAACAAATTAAGGCTAGATGTGTTTTTTTTATTGATTATTAATACATTTGGTAATGTATTTTTTTTCCTTCAAAAGATTACTAAATGCATTTAATTGTAAGAATTGCAATTTTGTGCATTGTCTGTATAATTTTCCGTACTAATAATAGTTCAATATTTTTTTTATTAAATGATTACTTTTACTAAATGTTCAAAGGTCTTCCATAATCATTTCAGGACTTTCACACTACTAATTTGCATGTGGAAAAAACATCCATCACACAACCTTGGAGAGATTCTCAATGCCCTACACACACAAACAATCAAATAATAAGAAAACGGTTGTATTGCAAGTTGTTTGCAGGCCTTTAGCTCGCGAAGAACAGTAAAAACAGGAAGAAGAAAAATAAAGAATAAAGAACAGAGGAAAGAGATTTCTTATTCATTATTCAACTCTGTACATCATTACATCAATATATATAACAGCTATTAGAAGATCATACCATAAATATAAAGCTGTTACCAATCATATCATTAATGCTAGAATAATGTCCATAATTAAATTTTACAACACTCCCCCTTGGACATTATTTTGCCATAATCTTGCCTCATTAAAAACTTACAGGAAAACCCTGTGGGAAAAAACCTAGACAAGAAAAGAGTGTAAGATTTATGGGTAAATATATCCATGCCTCATTAAAAAACTTCACTAGGAAAACCACGTGGGAGAAACCTAGTTGAAGAAAAGAGTACATGATATTTAAAACTCATATATTGTATTGGTTGCCTCATTAAAAACATTAACTTAAGAAAACCCGGTGGGAAAAAGTTAGATAAGGGAAAAAGAGTACAACCATAAGCCTTCAAGGCATAATCTTCAGGATTTCGGGGTTCGTCTATTCAAATATTTATTTCCAACTTTTCCCATTGACATTGCTATATCATACTCATGCCTCGCTAAAAACCACACTAGAAAAACCCAATGGAAAAACCTAGTGAGGAAAAGAGTACATGGTATGTATATGCTGCAAAAGTATAACTATTAGTCCGTTTAAGACCCAATCTACAGGATTGACCCGAGTGAATATACTTCTCGTCTCCCCTTGAGGATAACAATCTTCAAATTCTACATTGCTTAAAGTAAAATCATTGTTTCAAAAGGGTGTAGAGAAGGGATATGGTACAATCTTCAAGATTGTCATCAAAATTTATCATATTTTCTCATGATCATTTGGACCAATAAAATTATTTATAGTTGATATTTTGTTTTGTTGATCCCCCTAAAATATAATAATTTTCTTTAACTATGCATATCAATCTTATAGATATTTTGTAGGTATACATTTGCTGACTTGTCACTGGAGCAAATTTTTTGGACAAATATTTTATCACTCTTCTGGAGTTCATGTGGATCAAGATATTTTATATCATGAAAACTATATACGTTTTTATTTGTGCCAAGTATGATGACTTCATGTCAAAAAGCATCAATATGAATATTTGTACCTTGAATTTCTATTCCTTTATCTCATCTCATAACTTAACAGTCGCTATGACAAAGCGAGAGCATATATAGTAAAGTAATGATGAGATGAAAATATACAAAGTACATCTATAAGAACAAGTATTATCCTTTAATTTAGACCTAAGATGCTTTAAAGCTTAAATTGATTTATAATATATCAATTCAGGTATCATCAATTCAGGTCATGGCATTTAACATAATGTCAATATTCAAATGTCTTCTCGAAAGACGTATTTTGTGCCCTAAGGATATTAATGGATATCATTTCCTTTTCTTCCTAGAAGAATCACCAAATCACTCTTTACAAATTACAAAAATAAGATGCGAATTTGGGAATTTTCGGTCTAAAAGAAAAGGTATTTAAAAATGACGTTTTGAAGCAGCGAACTTCTGGTCCTGAATTATCCTTTAAAAAATGGGTCCTTTATTTTGAGAGATTATTTGGACATTTTCTAATTAGTGTGTGAAATTCCTTTTAAGGAAATGCTCGATCGACAGGTCGAGATAATACTTGATTTTCATTTTCCTTTATTTTACAATAAGCCCCTTAATAAGTACCTAATGGTACATATTCATTTCTATAATTTTCTATTTTAAGAGGAAATTACTAAATCAATTGCTTTACTATTTTAAGTTTAAGTAATGCATTTGTATTTCAACAACAATCATGTTGCGATATTTACTTTATTTCATTTTTTCGAATTATAAATCCATCAAGGATTTTTCAGATAAACATTAGGGTCTAATGACCCATGATTTCTAGGTCATGACTTTAATAAGCTGCATTTCTAGAATTATTCTGCAATTATGTAGCGGAACTTTTAATATAATGATATTATCATGGGAGAGTATACTTGATTCTGGGTCTCTGCATCAACCCTTAGGTTACAAACTCGCTTTATATCTCACCACCTTATCATTCTTGTTTTTCCTTCACACAAACACCATTTGAAACCTACAGGGTTAATACTTCAATGGTTCATAAAAGGAATATATTAGCAAGTTGAGCTATAAATATGCCTTTAATTGCTCCTTTATATGTTAATCAATCTAGGCGCTTCTGGCACCTAGTTCTGGATCCAGATTGTCATATACTATGAGCAATTTGAAGAGAATTGTGTTGTCAACAACTTATAACATTTTTCAAGAATTTCTCATATATATATATATATATATATATATATATATATATATATATATATATATATATATATATATATATATATATATATATATATATATATATATATATAAAGTAATTTTCGAAGTTAACCAGATTATAGCCATTTCCCAAGGATATTTATATCTGGTTGTTCCACAATCCAATATAATGATTATTTGGTGCACCTATAATTTTACTGGATTTTTCTCATCGTCTGGACGATCGTCTTAAAGATATAACTTTTTAAGATTTTTCAAGAGTTCTAAGATTTTCAAGAGTGACAAAGATTATTTATTAGATCTAGTTGTTTGTGGATTCTTTATTTTCTATCCCAATGAATCTCCCGCACTTCTGGCGTCAAGGAGTATCGATAGATATATATGGTCCAATTTTGAGGAATATGTATAGGACCTAGTCACTCTTTTTATGAAATAGATTTATTTGGCAGATTTCTTTCTGAACTTTCGGTTCAATCTAATTGGTACGTGGATTTAAAATTTTTTTGAAGATCATTTCGTTTCATGAAATTTCTCGACATTCAATTTAAATTTTGATTATATCTCCCCCTAATGCCGTGAACCGATCTTCATGCAGTCAACGTATCCATCGCGTCTCTCTCAGGGGCTTTAAATATTGGAGACAACAGATAGAGGTTTAGATGGATATATTATGGTGGTTATGTAATAGATTGGACTGCATTTTAAGAATAGAAGCGCAGATTTGGGAAATGTTTGTCTTGAAAACCACGTATTAGATGTAAGGGGGAATAAGGATATGCAGTGTGCCGAAATATTTAAAAATAGCAGCGTGAATACTGCATTTTCCCACAAGTATTCGGCACATTGGAGTTTTGAAAAAATAATGGCCTAGCAAGCAACTGAAATTAGAAACTTTAGCTAAACCATTTCAGGTGTGGCATAAGGTATAGGATGATTCACCTTAATGCTCAATGTCATATAGTAATCATCAAAAGCTGATGAAGTGAATAGAATACCCCGGGAATTGGGCATTATTCATATGGTACTAGATCATACCCATCTTTTTTACGATTATGAAAAATGAGTAACACATTTCTACTCATCGGATGAATGATATTTAATCGAAGTAGGGTAAGATAAGGTATTTTAACATTTCAGGTTTCATCATGGAAACCTATTGACTTAATGTCTTCGAAATTAATGGAGTAAAAGTGTAGCTCTACTGGAGCCTTCAAAGAAAACCTTATCAACAATGACAAGAAGAAGTTAGAGGTTTGTAGATAATGATCAAACATTGAACTTATGTTTCAGTGGATCAACATTATTACCAACAAGAGTGTTTGCTTCAGGCAATGCAATATGGTTGGATTCAACCTTGTGCTTTTCATTATCGTTTTTTTACCATCGGTTTGGTAGTTTTCAACAAAATGCTATGGGTGTGGCACGTACTTGATTAGTGTCTTGTACACCCGCACTTGAAGCAGACTTGCTGATGGGCCAGAGTTCTAATTCTATGAAAGTGGTTGTCCTCGACGAGTTGGATCATTTTGTTGTGTATTATGGTTTCGGGAGTTATTGTTGCCACCTTGACCTTGATCCCTATCGCGACCTGGTTCTCGACCCCTCTTGGCGTTACATGATTGAGCAACGTTTTGTTTCGGGTACGGGTGCAGAGTTAAATTGGGATACAAATTTGTGTAAGCCAAATTATAATCAGTCACTGACTTTAAAATCTTGAAATCTCAAGTTAAGTCAGTCAAAATGTGTCTGAGGAAGGGCAAGAGATATTTGCAAGTCAAAAACTATCCTTCAGGGATTTCTATAAGGCATAGGAGTCATTTTCAGGAATGGCGAGAAAGAGGGGAAAAATTAGGGCTTTTAGCTTTCAAGGCCTCATTGCTCGCGGACTTCTAAGTAATTGCTCCTGTTGAAACCAAGCTTCGTTAATTCACATTCTATGATAGCAGCCATGATTTAGATTTTCTAAAAAAAATCTA